AGATAGATAGATAGATAGATAGATAGATAGATAGATAGATAGATAGATAGATGTACGTACGTACGTACGTACTGACTGACACTGAGATTTTAAAAGCTACAGAAAGGCCAGTGAAATGCAAGCATGAAGACCTGGGGCTTGAGTTCAGAACCCCAACATCTTTATACAAAGCCATGTATGGCAATATATATCTGTAACCCTAGGCCTGGGGAGTGGGTGGGAAGGGGATGGAGACAGGCAGATTGTCAGAGATTTCTGGATGACCACTCTAGCCAATCACTTAGTTCTAGGTTCAGCAAGACACTTGTCTTAAAAAATAAGGTGGAAACTATTCAAATCATCACATTTTCTACTTTGAATATGTTCAACCTTTGCCAGTTAATTACTTGATAATGAAAAAGACAAAACCACTTTCCTAGGTACATTATAAATATGTATGTCACATCCATTCATAAATTAATAATTTTAAAATTTTATTTATTTTTATTAATTGTAGTTTATTCACTTTGTATGCCAGCTGTAGCCTCCTCCCTCGTCCTCTCCTAATCTACCATCTCTCCCCCATCTCCTCCCATGCCCATCCCAAAGTCCACTGATAGGGGAGGTCCTCCTCCCCTTCCCTCTGACTATAGCCTATCAGATCTTATCAGGAGTGGTTGCATTGTCTTACTGTGGCTTGGTAAAGCTGCTCCCCACTCAGGGGGATGTGATCAAAGAGCCAGCCACTGAGTTAATGTGAGAGACAGTCCCTGTTCTCATTACTAGAGAACCCACTTGGAGACTGAGCTGCCATGGGCTACATCTGTGCAGGGGTTCTAGGGTATCTCCATGCATGGTCCTTGGTTGGAGTATCAGTCTCAGAAAACACCCCTGTGCCCAGATATTTTGGTTCTGTTGCTCTTCTTGTGGAGTTCCTGTCCCCTTCAGATCTTACTCCTGATCCCTTCAGGTATCCCCCTTTTTTCATAAGATTCCCTGCATTCTGCCCAAAGTTTGGTTATGAGTCTCAGCATCTGCTTTGATACACTGCTGGATAGAGTCTTTCAGAGGCCCTCTGTGGTAGGTTCCTGTCCTGTTCCCTGTTTTCTCCCTCTTCTGATGTCTGTCCTGATAAATTAATAATTTAAAATAATCTTTTCCAAAACTCTACCCAAAATCTGAATTCTACTTAACAGTATTATCTAATAAAGCCTTGTTTGGATGCTTTTGGAGACAGGGAAATTCCTGTTTCTTTTTTTTTTCTCCTTTTTTCCCTTTTTATTTATTAGTTTATTCACTTTGTATCCCAATTGTAGCACCCTCCCTTATCTCTTCCCAATCCCACCTTCCTTTCCTTTCTCCTCCCATGCCCTTCCCCAAGTCCACAGACAGGAGAGGTCCTCCTCCCCTTCCATCTGACCCTAGCCTATCAGGTCTCATCAGGACTGGTTGCATTGTCTTCCTCTGTGGCCTTGTAAGGCTGCTCCACAATCTAGCTGCTTGTTTCTCAGAGCTTTTCTAACTTCTAGTTGAAGTTTGTTCCTTTTGCCTAAACCACCATTACCTTCTTTCCCAGCCTATCAATTCATTTCTACTCTGAAATTCTAAGATGGATGACTTTTAAAGCTCTTCTCAAGTCAGGATTTCAAGAAATACATAAGGATTAGAGTGAAATTATGAAAGAAAAAAGTAGAGGATCATTTTTTTTTACACAGTTGTTCAAAACAATATCCTACAATACAGATATTTGCATATACAGAACTTAGCCATACACACAAATGTGTAGATAGATATATAGAATGGTTATGTGTATATATATTATGTTGCTAATGAACACATGTTATATTTAAGAAAAACATACTGTAGGACACTTTTTGTTAGCACATTTTTGTCATATTCCTATTTTGTAGAGGAAAAGAATTCTTACATGCATTATTCAATCACCAAATAAAGAAAAATACAACTTATTGATCAACCACTTAATAAAAAGCATGTCTTAAAATAAAAAAAAAATGGGGTGGAAAGCAATAGGAGGGGAAGGCCAAGGTCAGCTTCTAAACCTCACACATGAAAGAGCACCTGTGTGCCCCTGTGCCAATATAAACATACTTACTACAGTCACAGAGTGAAATAAATTATACTACTTGCTCATTGACTTTACTCCTCCCATTATGCCAGTGCTTCTTAAACTTCAACACATTAGAATCACTTACTTTACTCAAATAACAATTCTGGGAACCCATCTCCAGAGACTTTAATTTAGCAAGCCTAAGGTAAGGACTATGAATTTGCATTTTGAGATCACATTTGAACTGATGCTTTCTGTTTAAGTAGCGCCACAGTATTTGATTTTTTATAACTATCTATTCCAGTGTTTTTTACACACACATATACATATACATTTAATGTGTATGCGTGTATGGAGGTCAGAAGGTCACTTGTGGGAATCAGTTCTTGTTTTCTATCATGTGAACTCTAGGGACTGATAGTCAAACTAGGTGGCAAATGGCCTTATTCACTAAGCCATCTTGCTAATCCTATTTTAGTGGTTTTTAAAAACCACCTCTGAAAACTTTCATTTTGTACTTGTGTCCACTTGAACTCCTTCAGTTGTCTTGTTGCTCTAAGACTTCAGCTACTATACTGCAATATGTTTGAAAAAAGTGGACATTCTTGTCTTGTTCCTAACTTTAGTGGAAATATTTGAGTTTCTTTCTGTTTATGTTGATGCTATCTGTGGGCTTGCTATAAATTGTCTTTGTTATGT